TTACTGAATAGCATTTTGCGTGTTGGTGCTGTAGCTTTAGTATAATAAAATACGCCTATAATCTTTTACCAATGTATCTGTATTTATGCAATGAATAATTAAGAGTTACTAAATATTATATAAAGGAAGTAGCAATGGTTATCCACTTCGACCAGTCACACCAATCATCATTATTCTCATTAGTACATTGAGCGAATCAGAAGGAAGCATGGCATTACTATTGCATTTACTGGAATAATACTTCCATAAATGATCCAAAGCGTAGAACCTTTGTAGAACTTACTGATATCTTACGTGAACATTAAACTAAAACAAGTTCATCTTAAAACCCTATTAAACTCAGTTGTATATAATCTAATAGCTTAAATAATTCATGTAACCTATAATTGACTAGCCTACAGTATTAGGAAATAACCTTGTTAGTAAAAGTAATCCTATTGTTTGTATTTTATAACATAAATTATTCCTTATCGAAGCAGGCGACATTAATTAAATGGGTTATGAACCCTGTTCCTTCATAATCCAGTAGACAATACGGCCGCTAATTCTATATTGTTCACATTTACATCGACTACCCTATGCTCTTGCAGGCACTGTAAACGGTACAAATATGTATTGGCATCAGTTTTAAAAGAAAGGGTGGTATTGTATTCTTCCATAAAGATTATATGCAACACTTATGTATTTGTTTATTTATTGTATTCATCATACTAATAATATTATAAAGCTGAAGGTTTGTTTGTTTGTAAGTTAAGACAATGGTTATTAAAAGTAATTTTTAACTGCCATTTTGTTTTTATTAATAATTTGTTTTGGGATCAATCACGCATTAACTACTGGTCGGATTAGGCTGAAATTTGGCATGCTGATAGCTCATATTCTCCATTAACAAATAAGCTGATACCTATCTCAAAAATCCTTTTGGGCCCCGTCCTAGTGGCTTTGAGATTCCCATGTTTGCCTTATGCCATTTATATTTTAAAGGAATCGAAGAATATCGTCAGCTGTTAATTAATTAAATAAATAAGTTGGGTTCTATGATGTTAAATAGCATTAAAAAGTTACAATGTTTGACAACAGAATGCAGCACTCTTTTTTCAGCCCTATATTCATTATATGTCGATTTTCGTTATATATAATATGCATATATCATGAATAATATACATATAATGAATGTTCATATGTGTACACCTACTGAATTTTATGTACATATTCGTCTTAAACAAGGAAATGGAAAGACTTGATCAACAAGTACTAAAATATTGATTCTTTTAAAGTACTGAAATGGTTTTTTACCAAGGCAAACTTATGTTAAGGGAGAAACACCAGACCCAAAACATTTTTAAAGAAATTTTACGTTGGTATAGTTGTAGATTTTGAGTGCCTTTTTCAACCATTATTGTGCATTGTATTTTGCCCCGGTCATCGTCGGGTTTTGCAGCTACTGTTAAATACTTAATAAGCATTGATATTACTTAATAGCTGTAAGATTAAACATTATTACAATTTATTCACAAACCAAAATGTAAATAAAATTTCAGTAGATCTCATAATTGGAAGTTAAAACATTCTTTGAGGTAAACACAGATATTTAATTGTTATTTGTAGGCAATTTTTCAAACAGAAAATGCGATTAGTGGGATTTCTTCGTGACGAAAACACATTGTATGATTAGGCTTCGTGATTCATCTTGTTTTTGTATTGCTAGGCTTTGTACCCCATCTTGTTATTGTATGGTTAAGCTTTGTACCTCATCTTGTTATTTTCATGGTTAAGCTTTGTACCTCATCTTGTTATTTTTATGGTTAAGCTTTGTACCTCATCTTGTTATTGTATGGTTAGGCTTTGTACCCATCTTGTTATTGTATGGTTAGGCTTTGTACCTCATCTTGTTATTTTTATGGTTAAGCTTTGTACCTCATCTTGTTATTGTATGGTTAGGCTTTGAACCTCATCCTGTTATTGTATGGTTAGGCTTTGTACCCATCTTGTTATTGTATTGTTAGGCTTTGTACCTCATCTTGTTATTGTATGGTTAGGCTTTGAACATCATCCTGTTATTGTATGGTTAAGCTTTGTACCCATCTTGTTATTGTATTGTTAGGCTTTGAACCTCATCCTGTTATTGTATAGTTAGGCTTTGAACCTCATCCTGTTATTGTATTGTTAAGCTTTGTACCTCATCTTGTTATTGTATGGTTAAGCTTTGTACCCATCTTGTTATTGTATTGTTAGGCTTTGTACCTCATCTTGTTATTTTATTGTTAAGCTTTGTACCCATCTTGTTATTGTATTGTTAGGCTTTGTACCTTATCTTGTTATTGTATTGTTAGGCTTTGTACCTCATCTTGTTATTGTATGGTTAGGCTTTGAACCTCATCCTGTTATTGTATGGTTAAGCTTTGTACCCATCTTGTTATTGTATGGTTAGGCTTTGTACCTAATCTTGTTAATAATCTTGTTTCACTGTGTAAATCATATATAGATTGGATGCATGTCACGGTAACAATTTTACAGTTTGATTATGTTTCACCCCAATCTACGGGTTGATACACATGTTTTATTATGTAATTCAAATCAATATGAATTATTTAGATATGAACAGGTTTTTCGTAAAGTATAAGTTGTACGCGTTCAGTCTCGAATTATAGGTCAATTTAATGTATATCCCATTTGATACGGATGAAACACAACATATTCACGGATAATCGCAAGGTACATATATATGTTTAAATGAGATATAGAATGTGATTTATTTAAGAAAGACCCAAAAATATATATACAATCTTAATTGGAAAATAGAATGACATGAACATTTGATATGTTAAACTATGAACTTATGAAACAAATCATTTACTTATGTAGTTTACTACATTTACATATTTAGTCATGAAGTATAAATGAACAAAATAAATGTAAAAATAAATTACTGACATAGTATTACGAAAGTATTTTCTTAAAATGATAAAAAAAAAAATGTTAGAATTCCAACAATTACAATTTTATGAATATTATGACTAGAAAACCTATCTCAATACTGTACTTGACAAACATTTCAGTTTAGTTTTCCATTCTCAACTCAAGATACACAGAAAGGAATAATACTGGGAGGCTGTTGAGATGTGAATGTAAAATATTTTTACAACTTGAGCTGAACATTTGAGTTTGCAATATCTTTTCTCTGGTTGATGTTTTGTGTTCCCATAAACTTTCCACGCCGCGCCTCAATGAATTCCTAGCCCGTGGTTGTCACTTTTGTCCGCAGATTTAACATTTATACTGTGCCAGAAAAGTGGAAGACCTTTTAAATGCATATGAATAGCGTTTATTTATCTATGACATTTTCTATCTCATGGTTGATATGGTTTATTCAGGGTTGAAAACTACTTGAGTAGTTGCTATGAGGCGCTGATATCTAGCTAATTTCTGTGCTGTAGGTTTAATAGGTTCAAAATTTCTCTAACTATATCGAACATATAGCTGTAATAATTATTTCAGTGCTTTACTTCTTTCTTTGAGTTGTGGTCCTGCAAACGTTTAGACGGGGAAATACATCTCCCATAGTTGCTCTAGAAATGCAAATAAATCTAGTGGTCAAAACCGGTAGAGCATGGTGCCAAAAGTTTTAACTACTATCTTTTTTATAAACTGATTATTAATAAAGCAATATATTAAAACGGTTGCAATTTCCAGTTCCCCTTGGAGTTTGTTACCGTTGGGTTCTACCAATTAACACCTAAAAATCGATGCTTTGTATTTAAATATTAGTTTACCTTTTTTACAAAGCCTCCCTTTTACAAAGCCTTATTGGGTTGTGCTGACATTTGGTTTTATGGCAATATTGTATAGTGAAATATGCCTACGGCTCATATTATTTGTTTGTTGGTTTTGAAATTCATTAAAAAATTAGAGCTTCGTTGAATACCGAGTTTAGTCAAAGTACATCCACATATTTCATTTCAAGAGCGAAATTTTAATAAACTTACGTTCATTTTATGCTCTTGATTGTATTTTATTCTTTGTCGATTTTTATGCCGATAGTCAGTAAGCACGGTAACCATCCGTAAAACACATAAAGCATCCCTATTTATATAAGGGTAGTTGACAAAGGGTAAAATTCATTTCAAACACAACGTAAATGAGTTTTAGTAAACGTATCTTCCTACAAATTACGTTTATCAGTTTGTAGAGTTGAAGAGAAATCAACAGTAATCAGTGATAAAACAGCAATCACTGCAGTAAATACAAGCCATGTAAACAACGACCAATTGCTGGCTCGAGTAGTTGAAACTTTAGAGAGGAAAACTCATTTTACATTCAGATAGGTAAGAGAGATCCTAATCAATTTGCCATTTTTTTATTTTCTGTTTTTTCTTGAGTGAGTTATAAAAAATCGTTTTAAGTGTACGGAAATCCATAGTTGACGGGGGCATTGTTAACTCTTGGCACATTGCCTCAGAAAATGAAATCTTTTTAGTAGATTACATATATATATAGATGGACTTGGCACAATGACATTATTCCAAACATGGGGTATCTATACATCTGAAAGAGGTGTTTCTAGTCCTTTTAAGCGAAGCAATAATCCCTCTGACAGTTTGTTTACTTCTTTTCACAAATAAACAATTCTGAAATTATGTATATAAGCTACAATAAGTTCAATACTTATTTAAAATGCTACCTTAATTAATTTAAATTATATATTATAGTACTTCATTCTATTTTACAGCAAACCTATGACAAATAGAACATACCGACAATTCGAGTGATTATACAGACGTATTTCTACAAAAATAATGTTGAGTTCACTTTATAAATGTATTTTTCTGTTGGGGGTTGTGGGGGATAGTGCAGTGGTGGCCAATCAAAGGAATAAGGGAATCGTAGGGAAAGCAATCAACGGAAAAAGGGAATCTTAGGGAATATTGGGGAGGGTAGAGTGGGTGTGGGGGTTGGCAGCAGTGATAGCGCAGTGAGTGGCGGCAGTGGTGGCAGTGGCGGCCAGTCCACGGAGTAAGCTAGTAAACCCGCGCTAACACGGACTTTCAGTGAGTGAATGTGTGTGTGTCAAGTGATGGTGAGATATTCGACTTCTTTCACTTACTGAACTGACATTTAAAGTTAACCAATCATCAACCTCCGCTTCGACCTCGTAAGTTTCCAAGTAAATTTTCTGTATTTTATTTATCTGTCATAAAAGAAAAATAGTTTATCAAGAACCACCCATTTGGTATTGTTTCTTGTTTTTTTTACTAACGCATTTATTATTGAGATGATTTCAAGTAGTTTTCTGGTATTCTGGTCACGAAAAAAGATAAAACGCGTTTAAATAATTGTTAGACATTTCTGTTTGTATTAAGCTAAAAAATCAACACTAAGTAATAAACTTTAAGGCAAATAAGTCTTAAAAAACTAAAGAATACCGTCACAGAACTGTGTTAACATCCGTTGCATCACTTTTTTTGTTGTAGTATATTTTTTGTATTTATTTTAATTTGCTGTTGTTCGTTTTTAGACGTTGACTGATTACCCTAATGCAAAGCCAGTCAACTCTTTTCAAACGACAGAGTTCAGTTAGTGTTTATTTTTAGTTGCCGTTTTCCCCCCTCAACTTAGCCTTTGAATAAGAAATGGTTGAAGGAACAGTAATCACAACAAAGGCAGATGTACGCGATGTCGTTGTAGGTCGGATAGGTTAACTTTGCATTGATACTTTAGTAAATGCAATAATTTATGGTGTGACTACAAAACAATAACCGGATTATCTTACAAATTATACTTAAGTAAAGCTAATTTACGAGGAATAATTATAATACGTTATTTTCCCTTTATCTTATTGTAAACAGATAAACAAAACAAAAACTCATCATTATTTAATTTAGGCCTATTTTTAAACAAAAATACGCACGCATTTTACGGTAAAAGGAATTGATAAGATCAATATAACGGTGAAACCCACATGCGACCTAGACTAACGCATAAAAATAATTGGTCGATTAAGCTTCATACAAAGGAAATGTAAAATTATCCCATGCCTAAAGTAAAGTTGTATTACCTAAAAATTAAAATTATTTTAAATGCAAGAAATGTCAGCGAACCGTTTATATGGAGGAGCATGGGTTAAGAACACTCTGGAATCCAAGTTCAAGTGGGGCAAAGCTAGGTAAAATATATTTAAATAGTTCAATTTAGTCTATTGTTACATTAAAAAGTAAAAAGCATTGAAACATAACAGGTTGTATTCATGAAAATTTGAAATCCTGTTGGAATTGATGGTATACCTACCTAGGTTGGTTTGCCAGTTATCCTTCAGTTCGATCCAATATTTATTTAAATAATTTATTAATGAGAGACAAAGGTTACTTTCTTCTAAATACTTTTTCAATGATTATAGTTCATTATATTTTAATTAATCAGTGCTACAATTATATAAAGATTATTTTTTTAATTACTTTTTTTTACAAACTACAGTAAACGTTAAAATATACTGTCTTTTTCTTCAATATTTTCAGTATCAAACTACCTTTTTCTGATTGTAGTTTTTTAACCGTACAACTGAAATATATGATAAAATTACAACTTCACAACATCAAAAACCGATTTTGTATCATCTCTTCACACACAACCTACATAAAGTGAACTAGACCAATCACTTTTGATTTACATTCAAATATTTATTTGAACAAACATTTATTTAAATTTACAATGTACATTCTATTGGTATCGCCTGAACCTCAAAGAATAACATAATAATTAGTGTTTGTATTAATACAAATTATTACATTGGACAACTACATTTTTTGTCTGTAACGATTATAAACAGATTTCAGATTTAAAATGTAACTATACTGTAATTTACCTATTTTAGTGAATGTTGTTATATGGCAAAGTGTACGCTATTGGATCTTGCCAAATGTCCCTCAAAAGCTCAGTAGTGACATTACCGACATTTTCGAATACAAACTAATCTATCAGTCGTCGAAAATATTTTAAATGATGTCCTCTAAACTTCCGATGAACTATATGCAGTAAGACCTTTTACACATATAAATATATAGCATATTTATTTCGCGACGTCTTAAAAAAGCATAGCATATGCTTTTCTACAGATTTAAGAGAGGAAATCTTTTTAATTATTTCAAAGTCCCAGTGTAGGAGTATGGCACCATATCTGGTAGCTACATCTTTTGGCGAGATAATGTATGGACGCCACTATGTAGCAACCTGTTTTACATATTTTTTATTTTTATATTTTCTTTGGGTTTATATTTTTTACTTATAAAGTTTTGTTTGGTTAAATTCATACATTTTGTTGAATCCCGTAGATGCCGATTTTATTCATTGCGTAAAATTATCAGATAAATTACAGAACTCCATATCTCACAATGTTAACTTACGTAGGTCAATTTTCAAAACTGGGAGGTCTAACTTTTAAAATTACACATGTAAGATTTTTGAGGTTTCAAAAAGAATACAACACTATTCTATATGCCGTAGGGACGTTAATGACTATTGTGACATATTAAAAACAATTTAACAAGTAATACATATATTATATTCTAGATCCCTATTTTAAAATTATATATTCAGAAAAAGTATTTTACTATGCTATCCATATTAATCAGGCATATAATACCCCGATGATATTACAATAAGTATATAGTATACAGTGTGATTGGAAAGACCCGGAACGGTGTAATATATTTTATACTACGAGTATAGATAAAGGAATGGAAACTTGGTAAGTCAATTAAAGCCATAAATTTCTGCTCTTTTAAGCTATTATTAATTTTTCCCCTTAGGGGCGGCTCACGAGGAGTCAGACGAAATCTATAGCAGCATATGTCGAGAGTTTGGTATCAAATTGAAGCTCTCCGTTAGCAAAACACAATGCCGCAACCCTGAACTCAATAATGGAGTCAAGAATGACAGCTGTTCAAAGATTTCTTTAATTTGAAATATGCAGAGTGCGCCAAAATAACCTGACGGTTTTAATACTAAATAACTCAAGAACAAAATACAATTTTATGTATTAAATAATATTATATTGTACACACTACTATGCCATTTTCATTTATGAAAAATGATATCACTTAGGTGATGACCTTCTCCTAAACGCGGGCTTCCCATTTTTTTCATATTTGCAGTCACCTTCCCCTGATGAATAGAAGCAATCTCTTCTCGGATACACTGCTTGAGATCAGGGATGGTTCGAAATTTCGAAACAAACACTTTGCTTTTTAACTATCCCCATAGCCAACAGTCACACGAAATTAAGTCTGGGGATCACTTTACTGGGAAAGAGTTCACGCAAAACTGTCATTGAATAATTGGCTGTGTGACATGTTGCGCCGTCCTGTTGAACCCATGTGTTGGTCATGTCTATTCCTCCTAACATTTGCAGTTGTGGAACCAAAAACCCCCTCAGTATTTCCACATAGCGTTCCGAGTTTACAGTGACAGGGGGGTCCCACTTTCGTCCTCAAAAACATATGGTCCGATGACTCCAAACAGTACCACACCACACTAGACAGTAACTTTCTTTCGACGAAGTGATGTTTTACCAAACATAACCTAAAAATGGCATAACATAAGCAATCGTTCAACAATGAGGTCTCTAGCTAGTATAACAGCTGACTTATTACAAAACAGAAACCGTCAGGTGTTTTTTTTGCGCACCCTTTAGTACTGAAAGTAAATACAAGAAACGTCTTATAACACTGAAAAGATATTTTTACGCTTATACTGTTACTCTCCATAACAGTATAAGCGTAAATATATCTTTTAAGTGTTATAAGACGCTTTTTTTATTTACTCTCCGTAAATTCAATAACACGTACAATGCTGATCAAGAAGTTATTTAATATAATACTGAGGAGCGACCACTAGAAGTCGGAAGAAATCATAAACATAAGCTAGCATAGGTCGATATCAATATCATCACAATAAAGATCTTTATTAGTACAGTAAAATACCACAAATTTGAGCTCAAAATAACAGCTGGGTTATAAATGGCAGCCGATGAAAGATTCAAAATGGCTGATTCAAGAAATATTTTAACGGCTGCCATTTTTGTCTCGGTTCTCTGTTTGAGTTTAGGTTTGCGGCAATGTGTTTGAATAAATAAGACATTTAATTTGATACCAAACTTGTACCTATGCTGCTGTTTAAGAATTTTTGTCTCACTACTTGTGGGCCACCCATCTTAAGAGATAAAATGTAACATAATCTTCAAAGAGTAGACATTTATGGTTATTACTGGTATAGGCTACCATGTTTTATTACTTTATCTATAATGGTAAAAAATATATTAGCCTACACCGTTTCAAGACTTTTCAATAACACTGTATAATAAACAGATAAGATATGAAATACAGTATATAATATTATAAACAAAAATAATTAAATATAGACCGTCAGCTGTGCTGCGGTTACCATAGGTTCTGGCGCACACCACTGGGAGCGCCATGTAGTTACGGCCTACGCGCTACGTAACTACACTGCGCGGCGTTCCCAGCGGTGTGTGCCAGAACCTATGGTAACTATGGTAACCACAGCACGGCCGACAGTCTATATTTAATTCTTTTTGACTATGATAATATATACGATAGTGAAGCTATATGGGCTACCCCCAGGGCTACGGGCTACCCCCCATAAAAAAACTCATTTCATTGTTGAACTTTCAAAAGAACCATTGAAGAATTTTGTTGTGATTAAAATATCATCGTGAAACCTGTTCTTTATTTTACATGGTAATCGTTAGAGATTTAACCTATCACAAACACTATGAAAATATTTTATTTTTCCAAAAGCTTAGTTTAAGTATAGTTATGATTATTTTATATATAAATTATAATTATATATTTTATATATAAATAGTATGAATATATATTTATTTATTTATTTTGAAAGGCTTTCTATGTAGACTGCTTCACGTACAGTTTAGTTTAAAATATAGTTTGTGTTTAGTTAGTTTGAAATTAAACTCTCAAAATTCATTTTAATGTTTATTATTTTCTATATACAGGGTGGTAATAAAAACCGAAACAGTAAAATATTTTCTCAACGACAACAGATAAATCAATAAAATTTGGTTCATCAACAACGCACCTAAAAATCTACTTTTTTAAGAAATATCAATTTTCTGTCATA